GGTAACGGGAGATGGTCGGCTCGGATTAGAAACCTGGTGGAAGAAAGTGGACTTCTAGTCCTTGCTGGTTTGATGGGTCGGCAGCACGGTCGGGGGCTAGTGAGTTGTCGGGAGAGTGGAGCGAAAAGACATTTGTTTTTTTTTTTTTCTTCCTCGAGCGCTCGCTCCTCTGCTGCCGGTCGGTGGCGCGACAAGGACGGAGAACGGAGTCGACTCGGGGGCTAAAAGGAACCGGTGGTCGACCTCGAAACGGGGGCGGGAACAATTGTGTCGAATCTACGAATCGATGTCCAGGAAGTGGGCAAGCTGGTGGAGGACCATAGAGAGCCGTGGGAGGGCCAAAGCAGCCGATTGATTGGTTCAACAGCGGAAGCTTGGTCGGTGGTCAATCTGGGGGAACGACTTCCTAGGCCAAGCACCACAAGGGAGACCCGGGCCTGACCACGACGGCTCCTTGTCGACGGAACTCCTCTGGACTAACTCCGCCAAGTCATCAAACCCCCTTGTGGATAGGTATGTATGTACCTAGCTAGGCTAGGTATGGAGAGGCTACCAGGCTATCTCGGGCAAGAGACCACAAAGTCGTAGGAACGTGTACAAGCAGATGTACCCACGAAGGATTGTTGACTTGGTCGACCAACCTAAAAGAGTCTTGGACAACGATGACGTTGAGAAGGCCAATGGACATGAAGGTTATATGGGGAGAGGGTTCGCATGTAATCCAGGGGCTGCTGTTCCTCCGGGATTCGATGGATGCTGAACGGAGGCAATAGACTCCAAATGGAAGCACTGGCCGCTGTTGCATGGAAAATCAAACAAGCATCCACCAAGCCTATCTGCGCCCTTACAGGCACGTTTGCATAAGTACTTCAGTTTGAGGCTGCATTCAACATGTGCATAAGATGGAATGTGCAGCAGAAGAACCCAAGACGCCTTCTTCTTTGAGTGGAAATCGTCTTTGTGCAGCGCCCTTGCCAGTTCGAGTCCTTACAGCCTGGAACAGCTGTCGAGTGAGTGACGGAAAGAATGAATAGCTTCGAAGTGCTTCACTAATAATTGAGACACACTTCTGTGTGCCATGCAGTTAGGACAGTACCTCGCCTGTACTTTCCACAAGAGCACAGCACAGATCAATGCGCCGCCCAACGCTCAGGTACTATACCTAACTGAACTTCACAGTTGCCGTCTCCCCCCTGCAGCGTGTCTCTGAAGCTCCGCAGACGATGTTGACTCTGAACAGGTACCTGGCTCAGGAAGTCTTCCTTTTACAACAACAATTTCCAGACATGGTCACGCCGCTGGCAAGTATGCAGCTACTAGAATAAGCAGCTATCCTACCCGCAGTCCTATAAGTCCAATTCCCTCCATACACTCGGTATCAGGAACATGCAAATTGGCAATAGAACCCCCCCTCTGAGCCCCCCCCTCTGAAGCCCTGATTCCGAGGTGAAGACGGGAGGGAAAAGGCAAGAGGCAAGGTCAATCAGTCAGGAACTCGGAGCACGGCTCGCATGCATAGAGAAATGGAAATGGAAGAGGCGTTGAAACACGGCCAATCGCAGCCTAAACCCATAAACGAGAGAGACAACGAAGACCACACGGCCGAGGGGGAGATTCCAGATCAAACGGCCCTGATGAACATGTTGATCAGCACTCGAGGAAATCGTGGGCCAGATTCGAGGTACAATGTGTACATAAATGGCACAAACAAAACCCATCCTTCTAGAGGTAAGCCATCCCTTCCACGCACGCAAAAAGGATCGAAAAAAGAAGCTCAAAACATCTGGAACCTCTCTTCAATCACGTTCCAGTAACATTTGTTTTGGTTCAGGTTGGAAAAGGAATGAATGTCCCTGGGGAGGAAGAATGGAACCACGACCAAAAAGAATGCTGAATGATGCGCGCAGGACACTGCATTGAGTATCACCATAGCTTCCATAACCAGTTCAGTTGCAGCACTTGTTCCAGAGTTCTTGTTCCTGTCGTATGTAACCGCGATTCTCACAAACCTATCGGCGCGATGGAGGAGGGAACCCAAACGGCCCTGCGTGCCCTCCCACGCTCCCTCTTCATGCACCTCATTTGCGTAGGGCAGCGGATCGGATAGGGACACGCGCTTGGCCAGTCTTGGCTCGTGGCAGCCATTTCCGATGGATGATTATCATGACCACCGTGAATGACCCTGACCTCCATTTGGAAACATCCCGACACCCATTTGGTTACCATCATCCGGACAGAGTTGCTGTTCTCTTTCTTTTCACCGGAGAAACCCCGTCCGCGCAAGATTCGAGACTTCACAAAGTTACACCAGAATGGTCTTGAGGGCATCTCCTGACAGTTCATTTCAGCGCCCCGTGGAGTACGGAGAGAGAGATGTGGTGAATCACCACCGTACCGCGAGGCATTGAATAGTAGGTGTGCTCGGAAATTTTCTGAACATTTCGCCAGAGGGGGGCAGATGGAGATAGGAAAACGGCAGGTTGAACCGGTTTCCGCGGCGGCTGCATGGAGTCGGAATCATGCTAACGATCCCAAACAACATTATGGGGTCCATCCATAGGCAAGCAAACTTCCGCTGACTCAGTTTCAGGTGGCATATACTGTGTACTATTATATGCGATCTTCATAGGGGAGGTCGTGGGGGTCGTCATGCTTTTTGGGCTTTTTTTTTCCACTGAGAGAGGCAGAGAGAATGATGATGATGATGAAATGGAAAAGGCTTTAGTTCAGCTTCGGTGGTTGGACAAGTCGAACATAGCACCAGAAATGGAAGAGGCCGATATTGGATTCCGATCCTCTTATGTCGCCGATGTCGATCCACCCCTCGTTTTGGTCACTTGTTCCTCTTCCCGTCGCCCGCAAGAGGAAGGCACGCATTGCACTAACAATTAAATACCACACCCTACTGTAAGCGACCTGAAACTGCTGGCTTTCAGTTTCCCAACCCGTCCATCTTCAGATTCGATCTTCTCATCTTGTCTTCATTCTTCACTTCAGCTTGCACCGACCCCTCCCACACCCTGAACCACGTACTTCATCATCGCCAAGCGGATAGAAATTGGCTCCCGTTTCGGACGACAGGATGCCCGCTGGGAGCTCCCCAGAGCTAGTGTACATACTTACCCCCCCTCCTTGACAGCACTAATCAGCCCTGCCAATCTCTGAAACCCCAGTCCAAATCCGGATTTGAATTAATAGCAGGGGCTGCTATAAGTCGATCAATCAGGGTCATTTATTACATACTACAGTCGAACCCCCTGAAACTGCATGTAATTCAGACCTGGGATTTCTATGCACTAAGTAGCATCTATGCAGTTTCTAGATTTGAGCTAGGCCTAAACAGGCAGCCAACCACTGGCCGAGACACTAAAATCCGACCTTATACTATAGATTGTCCCGCTCAAGACCAAGTCTGTAAGTGCATACGCACCAAAAACTGTCCGAGATTCGTATGCAGTATGCAGTTATGCAGTTGTAGCTGGGAATTAATTCAGACTGCCGATTCTTATGCTCTAACTGGCGTATATGCAGTATCTGGAGGATGCAGCTTCAGGGGGGTTCGACTGTACCTCCACGTACCTAGAGGTACGCCGGGTCGAGCTACGGTCACTTGGGGCCAAATAGTCGCTCTCTCGCGCCACTACCTATGCGCGGTTTATACCTACCCGGGCGAAAGTCCTAACGATCATTCTTGGAGAAACCTCACCAAATCTCCGGGAATTCATCCACGGAGTAACTCGCTGGGAAACTCTACCCGTCAGTTCCTGTTCATTCGAGTCATTCGAGGTTGTGTGTGGGGGGGTGTTGTTCGATCTTGTTTACTTCCATATGTCATGTCTGTCGGTTCTTGGCCTCCCCGTACCTGACAGATGCATATCTGCATCTACCGCATCTCTCTCACAGGACCTGGGGTCCAGTCGCTTTACGAGAAACCTCGGGTAAGAAGCAGCAGCGCCTCTACCATTATTCAATTTCAACACTTCCTTGAGCTTGTTTCAAGCAAGACACACCATGGCCTGAAGAGATGAAGATGCTATAAAGATACGACCTAGTAGCACTCCAAGACACTCGAACCGCATAATCACCTGCCCATCTCACATCACAAACCAGACAGGCGTTGATGTTTACGTACGATACGCATGATTAATGTCTGGTGATATATCTATCGCTCCGGGACATTCGGACCCCAGACCTCAGCTGTGTTCCTGGATCCCTACCGCCTAGGTGATCCCATGCCCACCACCTATTCTACTATGGTACAAGCCCAAGTACACTTTAATCGATACACTACAGCTTACCTACCCCTGAATGGTCAATGCATATCCCGTCGTCCCGTCGTCGATCAATCACTGCCCTAAATAACTATACTACCCTATGTACGCAGTACCTACCTACATACTTCAAGCTCCATGTTAGCTCGGACTTTACCTACCCCGTGCCTCTACATACATAGTAGACACACTTACATACATCCTACCTACATCGAGCATACGCACAATATGCAGTATGTACCACGCCGTGCACGCATCTTTATACATAGCTAGACGTAGGGTGTTGTGTTGTACCTGGCAGGATATGTACAGTACATACAGGCCTCGGTACCTCTATGTATGCGGAACCTGCCGCGGCACCTTACCTGATCTTGTACACTACATATCTGTATGTACACTAACCTCTACCTAGAAATAGGGTAGCAAGCAACACCCGTTAGGTCTCCAGGTCCCAAGACCTCGCTTCTGTGTGGATCATCATCCATCATCATCACAGAGCGAGCGAGCGACGGAGAGACAGATTTGATGCTGGATGCCGCCTGGTCTCCCCGTCAGACGGACGGGCGCGGAACGGTCCATCAATGAACCCCGTGATCTAATATTACAAGCAAGCACACAAGCAGCTACACTACACTAGAGCCTTAACCCCCAAACCGTGGTCCATGTCGCCGATCTCTGGTCCAGGTTCAAGGTTGAGACGAGTATGTACCTAGTTCCCCTCTTGTAAGGTAAAGGTAAGGCGAGTAGTGTACATAGTGTAGTGTAGTGTAGTGTAGTCCACCTAGGGCGGTTCCGGTTAATGCTTTGCTTTGCTTTGCTTTTCTTTCTTTCTTTCTGTGACGAATGCTCCTAGCTGTGACTAGGACACCACCTAGTGAAAGGGATAACTGTCTGCGAACTTGTAATGCCTGCTCTGCCTTCGGTAGGTACGTACATATGTCATTCCCAGACACATACACCCTTCAGTTCTTCATCACACTTTCGCTTGCTGATTTTCGGTTGTTTTGTTGACATCACTTAGAAGTGGTACCTAGTGGTGTACATTGGGATGGATTCTGATTGATGAACGGGTGCGGATATGAGCAGTACATACAAACATCACCAGCAGTGTCGTTGGTAAATTGTGAACTGAGTGGTAGCAGTAAGTGGTACGTTCCATTACAATGAATGATAGCAAATAAGTAAGATATAAGAGCGGTATGATATTTCTCCCGTCTCTGTTGGACCCTGAAGCAATACATGAATCTGCAAGTGGAACTTCTTCCAAACACCACCTCCAAGCGTAATATTTGATGCACATGTAGGAAAAAAAGCAAAGCCATGGCTTTAACAACACCAATAAAAAGAGTGCTCACACTTCATGCCCGCTCAAAATACTTCCACATAACCCTCTAAGCAAAAGGATCCTCCTCCCCCCCTTCACTCTCGTCCTCCCCGGCCACCCTCCTCTCACCCACCTCTCTAATCTTCTCCCCCAATATCCTCCTTCCGTATCTTTCAGCCACCTTACCCGCTGCTTCGATCATCCGTCCCGTCCTGTCCTTCATAAGTTTCACCACCTCCAGCGCCCTCATCCCCCTGTCCTCACCCTCGCGGCACTCAATCGCCAGCAGCTGCAGCAGAGTCTTGTCGATATCAAGCTCCAGTCTGGCCAACGCAGCGCGCTGCGAGGCCGTGGACCGGGAGCTTTCGAGCATGTCCGAGAGCTGCGCGGCGCGCAGAGAGGAGAGAAGGAAGGATTGGGTTAAGGGGAGGGATTCCTTGGTTGTTAGGGGATCGGCGTTGTTTTCGGAGTCGGAGTCGTCGGCTTCTGATGCAGTGGAATCGTTGTCCTCCTCGTCTTCTCCATCAACATCCATTAGATCGTCACCGCTGCGCGTCTTTTTCTTCTTGGATTGCTTCTTGGGCTTCGCAGAGGTGAGGGGTACGGCAAATTCGAATTCGGAAAGCAAAGGGCGAGGGAAATAGGGGTATTGGTCGCCACCCTTGAGGATGATACAGTGGAATTTGTTGTCGGCGACAGCGATGGGGAAGTAGGATTCTTTTTTGCGGCCGGAGGCGAGACGCGGGAGGAGACGGGTGTCGAGGAGGGGCACCCATACGGCCCGGGAGGGACGGCGCCAGTGAAGGAGCGTGAGGAGGGTGCCGGTTGAGTCGTAAATGCAGGGGTCCTGGACCGAATGTTAGTGGATGGATAAGATACAAGGAAAGAGGGAGAGAGGGACGAAGACGTACGCCATTGTCAGAAAAGAAGACGCTCTTTACTGTCGCGCCTTCAGGGAGGGCGACGGTGTCTTCGTTCTGACAAACTTCATCCCGCTTGATGTTCTCAATGGTATACAGCAAGCGCGACATACCATCCGCACCCACAGGCCCGTTGCCCATAGTCAGGACGTAGTCCCTCCAACTAGCGCACGTAACGATCGGTGTGCTCTTGGGTCTGTACACCCTCACGGGAATACCGAAAAGGGTGTATATCCTCACATAGTTGCCCGTCGTTGTCACGGTAATATATGAATCACTCAGCGACATGGCCAGCACCGCCTCACCCTTGGGCAGCTGTATGCGCCAATCATTTCTTTGCGTCCAGGTCTCATGGGGGCGGTAAAAGACCACAGCTGGGGAGCCATCCTCTTTTGGTGGGCACGAGAAAAGGCTGCCCTTGTCGTTCAGGCAGGCCTTGTCGTAGAGGAAGGTATCGGTAAAGTGGAAGTCTCTGTGGAACTCGTGGTCGTAGAACTCGACGGTTACGGTGTTATGGGAGTCTTGGTCAACGGTCCAGACAAAGCCGATCAGGTTCAAGCAGAGATATTTCCGGTTGCCGCGCCATGGCGTCGATCCAGGTTGGAAGGAGGGATGGTGTTGCGGTTGGACAAAGTTGCCACGCTTGGCAGTGTGACTCTCGTAGATAGCATCGTCTTCGGCTGGGCGTTTGCGGCCCGCGTTGAGGGTGTATCCTGCGCCGTCATCGTCCACCACGAAATCGTCGTCGTCGCCGTAGTTTTCGTCCAGGAGGTCATCGAGGTCGGCGTCCACGGAGTCTCTGCGTGGGCGAGCGTCGGGCTTAGGACCACTGACTTCTAAGCGGCGGGTGTTGTTGGATAGTTCGGTGAGAGGGTCGTGGATAAAGGGGGCGGGCTGCTTGGGTAGCCTGAGAAGAGAGGCGAACTGCTCTGGGACGAAGTCGGGGCTGATGTAAAGCTCTCCGTCGGAGGTTGTGAACGAGGCAAGGTTTTTCGTGGGATGCCAGCAGATATCCGTGACATTGGGATATTCGTATCTTGCAATGACACTCTGGTCTTTCGTTGACCAGATCAGGAGCTTCTTGTCCTTGCCAGCCGAGGCGAGCAGAGCACCGTTGGGCGACCAAGACAGGGCCGTGATATCTCCATCGTGACCGTTCTTGAAGACCCGCTGCTTTTCCCAGTCGTTCTTGGAAATAACCTGAATGTCTCGTGTAGGAGTCGGTACGGCAAAGGCGCGACCGTCGGGGTGCCAGACCGCCCTTGACGAGGCTTCGGACTCTGTCTCCAGCCTGCCAATGACACCATCCACCTTTCGAATCAGCTCTGGGTGTTCGGCAGTCAGAGAGTAGATGTATATGACGCCGTCGGTACATGATAGCGCGAGCAAGCTGCCCTTGGGATCGAAGGTCAAGTGTTTTGTCGGCTTTCCGTGTTCTTTGAGGGTACGTAGCTGGGTATTGTCGTGGACCCCAACCAGCCTCACTGTCAGCTCGTCGCTGGCAACAGCGCACCACTGGTGATCTGGAGATATGGCGACATCGCGGACTGGTAGAGAGGTTCGTAGAAGAAAACGATCGAAGGCATTGGTGTCGAGCGAGTACAAGCTGACGGTACCGTCCTCGGAGCCGGCCACAAAGTAGTTGTCGCTGGTGGCAAGGGCAAGGTTCTGTTCCTGACAGTCGTCGATATTCGTGGGTTCGCCTTCATAGCCCGTCTTGTAAAGTCTGGTGGTGTTGTTGGACCCGACCGTCACCAGTCTGGTGCCATCGGGGGTGTAGGCGCAGTATGTTGCTCCCGGGGGATGAGCTGGTCGTGACCGTGGTCGAGATGCGATGAGTGTGGTCATGTTTGGATATGATTGAGTCTCTTTACCCTGGGACCATTCATTCCCTTCCAGGTTCTTCAGTCGCAAAGAAGAAAGAGGGGAGAGAAAAGAGGAAGGGTAAAGTCTTAAACGGCGTGTAAGTTACAAGATGGAAAGACGCGTCGAGCGCGTTTTCAATTTACAGCACGCGCTATCATCTTATCGTGCCCCACCATGTCATCCCCACGGCAGCGAGTAGGACCCACTCATTCCACTTGGGCGCTGAACTTCCCCGCCAAATGCTTGGATAGGGGTAGCTCCTCCCGCGGCCGTAGGGCTTAACTGTTAAGAATCGCACTTCCTGTAGCCAGGTCTCTTAACAGACCGCTAACACTACTCATCGCTCTATTTGCCTGAGGTGCCTGTTGACCGAGAATCATCTGGAACACCATTTCCACTCCCGTCATTAGGCGGTCACTTACAAATCAGAGGAAATTGTTATATTCAAGAAGAGGGCACAGTAGAAACGAGTCACCCAACTCCTCCACCAGAGCCGAACAGAAGAAGTCAATATTAGACATCCTCAAGCATCAAAATGCAGTCCTCAGACCCACGCCACTTCTTCGAGACCGAGTAAGTTACCAGGGTTTCCCTCAACGTAAACAAGATGAACTAGAGCCTAACATCTTGGAGTGCGGAGATCGCAAAGAGAGAGAGGAGGGAAGCCAAGACCAGTAACACCTATGGCAACCCCATCAAGCTCAAGTCCAAGATCCTTGGAGCCGTTGTTGACCCCCTTGCTCCCTCTTCGGCCATCTTCGTAGCCGAGTCTGCCGGATCAGTCCGAAGAGTCCAGGTCGATGGTGAGGGAGACACAAGGACAGTCTACCGCGGTCCCACGACACCCGTCAGTTGTGTAGCTGTGGGTGGCCCCGGCAACAAGACCGTCTTTGCCGGTGCCTGGGACAAAAACATCTGGTCCTGGGACATTGATACCAAAGCTCCGGGCCGCAAATATGCTGGTCACTCGGACTTCGTCAAAGCCATCGTTTGCGCAAAGCTGGGCGGAAAGGATGTTCTGGTCAGTGGTGGTGCTGACAAGAAGATCATTGTTTGGGACATTGCCACCGGCTCCAAGCTTCATGTGCTACAGGACAGCGTGGTGAACATGCTCAGCATCCAGGATCTAGTCGTCGACCCTGCTTCCTCGTCACCGGATGAGTTGTGCATCATCAGCGCCAGCAGCGACCCGCACATCCGCCGTTGGAAGATTCGCTTAGATGGGTGGGAGCAGTTTGCGGAGCCTGACCCTGCTACCCCGGCAGCAGAGCGACATACCATTCTTGAGCACGAGACGACCGTCTATAAGCTGGTCATCGATCACGACGGCGATGAGGCCGACTTGTGGTCTGCGAGCGGTGACGGATCCGCCAAATGTCTGTCCAGAATCAAGGGCTTCACTGCTGACGACACTTTCGAGCACGGCGACCATGTCCGTGCTGTGGCGGTCACAGATCAATGGGTCATCACGGCCGGACGCGATGAAGACCTCAAGGTCTGGGACCGGACTTCAGGCAAACTTTACTGCTCCCTGGAGGGTCACTATGACGAAGTGACCGAGCTGGTCATTCTCAGGGGCTCCGCTGGATCAAGCGAGCGCGTTTGCAGTGTGAGCATTGATGGTACCATCCGGACGTGGCCCTTGGACAAGGCTAGTCTAGATGCTACCGTCGAGGAGCAAAAGAAGCCTATCAAGCCTGCAGAGGAGGAGAAACCCGATGGTGAAGGGCTATTGACGGCCGATGAAGAGGCCGAGCTTGCCGCCCTGATGGAGGATGACGATTAAAAGTGGACCATAACCTATGCATCATCCCATCGTGGGCTTCTGCAGGAAAAATGATAAGGCAGCCGTTTCGACGCTTACCCGTATCTCGATGCCTGACCCTTGGCCGAGTCGGTTGCGCTCCTGTCTGCATCAGCGAGATATTCTTTCTCGTGAACGGGTACACTGCGTCAGTGGTTGTCAGAACCAGACCTCCAAGGACCCCTTTCGCACTCCGTGAGTCCATCAATTTGTGGCAGCCATATGCGGTCACCCGTTCAGCTTCACGGATGCGCGCCCTGGCTGGGGCTGTGGTTGGTTCCAAGGAACATGAACAGGCTCTCGTTTGCGCCGCACGGCATCCAGAAGTTTCGAAACGAACAGGGCAGCCTTGGACCTATGATAGCCGCTTTCTCCTCCATTGCTTGGTTGTCACCGGTCTCTGGCACTTTCAACAAGCTTCAAACTCCTGTCTGGCTGCAGGGAAGCACACATCTATGCGGCCGACCGCCACGAGGGAGAAACATCGGATATTGCCACGTTTACACGCGTAGGAGGAGGTGAGAAAACGTGGAAAAGGAGTCACTTGAACCATCGGAGGGAGAAGCCCAGCTACCTGGTGCAACCAACAACAAGACATACCCACCCACACACCGGACCCTTGTAAAGTGAACCCATGAACATAAGAGTGGACAATGCAACTGATAGTAAGCGAGAAAGAGCAGCGAGTTGCATTTTTTTTTTTTAACTTGCGAATTCGGGGACTTGGTCACGTTTATTGGCCAGTGAGATGAGAGTAGTAAGCAGAAAGGCATATGGCACAGTGAAAAGCATCACCAACAAGAGGAAAGCTTCTGAGAGCAGACGGTTGGACTTGGCATAGAAGCTCCCTCGCTTCGCTAATTCCCCGTCAGTCAGCCCAGACAGGCCGATCATTCGAACACAGTACGGGGTACCTGCAGCTTGAAGCATCCCCCTGCTTACTAGCGAGCCTTGCTGCGATCTGGCCACTGACAGAGCTGCGGATCACGGAGCTACACTCCGCCCCAGTTTGGATCCTTGATGACCATGTTGTTGTTGACTTTGTGTCAGTTTTCTTTTTTTGTCCCTTTTCACCTTGTACCGTCTACCGAGAGATCACCCAACGTCGATCAACTCGACAAAAAGACCAACAAGATACGGACCACCCAATCCTCCACAATTCCCTGAAGCCAACGTGGCATTCATCAACAACCATAGTTGGCACAAAGGAACTGTGGTTCATCCTTGTCTTGGACCCTGGGACCACCTAATATAAAGGGTAATCATCAAGATGCAGGTTCCACCCTCGAAAATCGTGAGCATCCCCCGGATCTGCTAGTATCATGATCTTGATGATCTGGGTTTATCATGCCGCCATCCATGGGGACACCCGAAGAGGTCCTCCTTCCCTCCGGCAAGCGGTGATGCCTCTCCGGTCAGTGCTGCAAGGGGTTGTGAATCGAAAATCTTCCACTTCGAATGAAGCCTGCCTCTTTCCGGCTTCTGCATTTCCCTTTTTACTCGTCCAAGTTCCCTTCCTCGAACACCATGTCTCTGGTGGGCTACTCCAATCTGGCTTCATAAGTCTCTGCCGTGTCCGTGAAAGTCCATGCAAGCCACACTTTCTCTACTCTCTCATCCCATTTGTCCACGCCAATTGTTGATGCAACCCAACGGTCTCACTCTTTTCGTTTACTTCTCACCAAGCCACCGCGAACGTTCACCCACCGGAACTTGGGAACCGAAAAGCAAAACGCCATTACCAGAAAAGCTCGCTGTATATATGTCTTGCTGTTCAACAAAACAAAGCTAAAGCCAGCCGACCTGCTGTACGCCCATCACTACCGTGTTTCGTCTCGGACCTTCTCTAAAAACACAAACCAACTTCCAGTTGCACACTCGAGTCAAGTGTAGTAACGGGATAATCTCTGACTGGACCGATCCACAGACGCAACCCATACCGCCGGGTCACACGCCCCGTGTTGTTTCATAATCAATTAAAAAATCATCTATTTTCTTCGCATCTAATATGGCCGGCCACAACTCACCAACAGCACCCTCTCTGTCCAGGGAACGACAAAGCGGCAGTGTTATAGCACTGGAAGGTCCAGAAGAGGTTGTCGCTACGCAGCTATACCTACTCCCTGCTTCACCCCAGATCATTGTCCTCCCAAAAATCGAGCATTATATACCAACATCTCCGATATCACACGACCAAGAACAGTCACGTCACAAATCCGATCCTCGAAAAATCATATCGACCATTCACAACGCAGCCAAGCGAAGGCATTCGGTGGCTATGGAGTTCCTTCAACACTCCACGGCAGAAAGAAAGCGGGCCGTTTTCCTACAAGGGGGGACATGCGGTGCTAAGCTCATGTGTCTGGATGCTATTGGAAAGGCTTACACGGCAGGCAATCTGGAAAAGGCGGCAGCCATCTTTGACCGACTTATGAGCCAGGGTCTCAAGAGCCTTGAAGACGATGGATTTCATGTTGACTCGATCATCGACCCGATATCGAGTGACACGTGGGTCGGGAACCCCGATGCCAATAAGAGTGTTTGGGCAAACAAGGGTACCACAACCAATGGAAGAGAGGAGGACGACGACGACATGGAAGATCCAATCACAAAAGCCATGCGGGCTGCTGATGCGCTCGATAGGGAAACAGAAAACCTTCAGCCGCCGAAACATGATGCTGGCCTCGGCGTGGACTTCGAATTAATGAGGCCACGAAGCTTGAGCATGTCCGCCGTTGGATTTATGGCTGCCGCTCGCGACATGGTGATCCGTGAGAGGGAAGTCGGTTTGGACATGTCAACGGCCGCAAACACAGACGTATTCCAGTTGCTCCCATCACCACTTCTCTTCCCGTCGAACCCTGCAACCAAAACATCTTCCTTGGTAGTTTCTCCTCCGCACAACACTCAGGGACAGCTTAAGAAAGCCAGATCTTTTCCGCTTCCCGAGAACCTGAAAGACGTCAAATTCAACCTCAAAGTGGATTATGTCGGCAATGCGCAGATGGATTCCGTTGCGTCCAAAGCTTTTGCTCAACCCTGGCATGCAAGGAAGTTGACAGATGACGCAGGTATTGGCGCCGCGACCACGTTGCTGGGATCAGGTCTTGGTACCGAAGATAAAGACCGAGAATGGAACGGCACAGCGAGCGTATCTAATTACTCAACTGCCACCCCTACAACCCACGATGCAACCCACGATGCAACACGCGATGCAACACGAGAAGCAATCCACGTGGGAAGCCACACGAGGGTATCTTCCAAACCGCCAGGACTCAACGTCTCGCTTCGAAATTTCGAGAAGAAGCCAAAGGCCCTCGAAGGGCTGGACCATGAGGACAGTGTCATCGGAACCAAAGGTCGAACATCATCAGATGAAACGGCACCTTTTGAGCCCCTTCTACCGTTCAATGAGCATTACGTGATCCACTTGTCAAACGGCAAACCTGATGACCAGTTCGGCTTCGTGTCCGGTCGCTACAAAGACGGCTCCGACTCCATTCACCCACCTCCCACCTCGACCTATTCGCTCAATATTGATGCGATCGCCGTAAGTCCTCGTCCTGAGGAAGAGCTGAAGGACATGACTCCCAGCGAAAACAACATTTATCCCGCTTCCGAGTATGACCCTTATCGGTACGAAGAACAGCTCAGGCCGCAGTCAACCACACCTGGCTATGTCTTTCCCGCCTCCTTTCCGGTCACACCGTCAGCAAGCAGGTTCCATAACATTTCTACCCACAACAAGACTGCCGTGTGGGTTCAAAACACCCTTCGATCGGTCCTTGACGTCCATACCCCAATCGAGGAGATTGACTACCTGTCTCCGGACATTGACTCCCCGGATCCACAGTTGCGCAGTCTCTGGGAGCCTTTAATGTGCGCCGAAACGGATCAGCCAAAGGGGGAGAGGAACGTCGATCTCATCTTGGCGATTGGCGCCGAGGATGGTGTCAAAAAGAACTTCAAACAAGGAGTTATGGCCAAAATTGAGCAGCTTGGGTTTTCTTCCCATGGCGATGGAATGTCGCGGAGCGGCCGATTGGGTTTGCGGTAAGCTTGATTCCACGATAAGTGTGGTGTGAGGAGAAACTGACCCGATTGCCTACAGATATTTGATTGGAAACGCTATGCAGACCTTTACCTCCCAGCCGCTGACCCAGCAGTCCAAGGAGAACCCCTTCTCCAACCCCACACTACTGGCAAGCCTCATCATTCCCCATGTCGACACTTACTTGCGCGGAAACGACAACGTTCGCTTTCTTCTCATCGAATACCCCGTTGAGCACTTGTCTACCATGCTGGCCATGCAGAAGCTTATGGGGAGCCAAGTCATGAAGGTGGCTGGAATTTCCAAGGGGACAGATAAAACAATATTTTCGATGGCCGATTATCGAGTATCGTCTGTGGCATCTGTAGCCGAGGTTTCTGAATGTGTTGAAGCTATCCGGGACACTTTGGCCTTGATCTCGGACTTTTACAAGCCCCAGACGAGTGACGATGTGCCAACGTCTCCAGCCACCGATGCTGTCCAGAAGGAAAAGCATATCACAGCGAGGTCCTTAAGCACCAAGAGCAGCGACCTGACGAATCCCAGCATCGCACCTCTACTCCCACCACAACAACACTCACCACGCCACAAGCCATCACCGGTTGCTATATCAACATTTGCAGCCATGTCAACTCCCCCTCCGCCTCTTCTTCCTGTCTCTCCGGCGGACACCTACAATCACACTCACGCCTATGTCCATAGCAATTGCCAGAACCATGGCCACGGGCACGTCCATGCCTACATGCCCACAGCAGCCATTCACCTACCGACCCGCTCCATCTCCCCTCCTCCCTGCTCTCACTGCTCGTCGACTTTCAGCACGTCGATGACTCGAAGCAACACTCTCATAAGCCACGGCACAGTTTCCGTGGCAAGCCCTAGTGTCGTCCTACCACAATCTCCCCATTCCATAACCAGAGCGACTTCCCAACGCCCGAGCATCAGCGGCAGCAGCAAACCGACGCCAGTATCGCCCTCCGGATCCCACACCATCAGTCCGCGGACCAAGATCGGCACAGCTACTACCTGTGTAGTACAGCAAAAGCCACCACCAACTCTCGTGCCCATCGTGACCACATCCTCCACGACACCGGGCGCAGCAGCGCCGCTGACCACAACGAGACTCCAATCCCCCCTCTCCCTCTCCTCCGGCCCTTTGTCGTCTAGCGCATCCACCTCCTCGCACCTCTCGATCAGAACCGACTTCAACACCGACGACGACAATCTAGATTCTGAAGCCGAAGATGACGACGATGATGACGACCAAGTCGGATCCGACGAAGACCCCTTTGACTTCTTTGACATTGACGCTGAAGAGCGTCGACTGATGCCCATGTTTTTGAAATCACAAATCGAGGCCCATGTCGCTGCTTCCGGCGCTGCCACCGGCGGCGGAGCTACCATGGGACATCGGAGCCCCGTGGTGGGGAATAGGGAGTTGGTAGATTTGGAGACGTTGTTGGGTGCGGGAAGGAAGAACTTCGGGGAGAGGTTCGCTAAGTATGTGTTGTTGTCATTTCCTGAGATTGAACGGTCATTTGCTAACGTGTAACGAAAAACAGTGGGCAAGGATTGCAGTTTCCCCTTCCGCCTGACGAAGTCCTTGGTGGTCGTGGCAGCGTGGACAGTGAGAAGAGAATGATCGGCGGCGAGAGACAACATGGTAGCATGGGAAAGAAGCAGCAGCAGCAGCAGCAGCACAAGAAAGGAAGCAAGAAGCCCATCACTGGTAGGAACAGTACCGAGACAGGGTCAGTCATAGGCCTAGGGGCACTGGCGACAGCGCTGGAGGCGGAAGAAGCTTGGAAACCCAGCAAAGGCTTGAAAGAGAGGAGGAAGAACAACAATCCCGCGCCCTTCAGGCCCATGACCCCGAACCCAAATATGCCGGACCCAGGTAATGGCGGCGGGAACAACATGTACACTCGCCCGATGTCAAGGAGAACGACCACATCGATGAATGACCAACGGAAAGGCTCCCTTCATTCTCCGGGAATGCACATGGGGGGAGAGCAGAGCAAGGCTTTGAAGTGGTTGGGACTGGCTTAGCCTTCTTCACTCATATCATCACAATGGGACTTGCCTACCAAGGTATTCTTTTTGTGAATTTGAAGATATGGATTACTAGATCGGATCTCGTTTTACTCATGGCCTATGAACCAAGGAAAGGAAGAGAGGGAGCAGGAACGGAAGATACCCGGGCAGAGATGGAAGTTGACGGAGACAACGAGTTTTCTTTTGTAGGGAAGGTTTTTTTTCGTAACTGGTAGTTAAGCGAGGACACTCACCAGGAAATAAAGTTGGTCTCGGAAGAGGTTGAGAGCAACAGGACTGATGGGAAGAGAAGGGCGAGGGATTAAGCATCATGATCCAAGGGAGGTCGGGCCAGACCAACTACGAGTTTTCGCGAACACTTTAGTTTACTTTGTTTTTAATCGTAGATAATTCACTCTCGGAGATTTCGAAATGGGAAATGGGGTTGGTGTCAAGTTCGCCTTCAGATGTTGTTTTTGTGCACGTAAGTTGAAGCGAGGATGAGAAACGGTGGGATTATGGAAACGGAAGAAAGATGACCTTGATGTCCATATTTTCAACAACGACCTTCTCGATTTATGGCTGTATTTCCTATTCCTTCACTCCATCTTCATCCTCCATTCCTTGATCCCCTTCTTCGCACTTCCCTGTCAGTTTGGCTTCTTCATCGCCACCAGACCAAACCAAATCAAATCACCACCCTTCACTCTCTTCCATTTCCATCACGCGTGATGTATCGACAACCACGTACCTACGGCTGCCACGCATCATAAATAAGCTTTGACTCTTGTTGTCTAGGTACCTCTAGGGTACAACTAAACCACCTAATAGTAACGTACCCTTTTTTGTCCGTCTTCATGTCAGGATCATAGAACGACGACCGCCGGCATCTGTACGAGGTGCAGTCTCTCTTCAAGTACATGGTGACAGCATGCATTTTGCCGAGGGTCTCGACGATGGTGCGGACTTCTTCTGTTGTGCACCTGCGTTGGTGATGTTGGTTAGACAAGCGAGCACGGATGGCTTGTAAGATGAAAGGGGAATTCGATGATGGAAGGGCAGGGCAGGGCTGGTCATGAAGATGCTTACATGGTTGATCGTTTTGCTTGGATGGCTTGGGTTATGTTGATGTTTGGGATGAATGCTGAGGATGTTCAAGATGATCTTCATTTCATGGGAAACATCAGTAGACTTTATACCCTTACCAATCGAGAAGAGGTCCACTTGGTCGCCATACACCGTCGTCTTTTTCGATTTCTTAGTGATAAACTAAGCGCTGGGCCTTGATGGATGATCATGGTCGAGAAGAATCCCGCCCTTGTTCTCGTGCGAGGGCAGCTGACTTCGCGTTGTGGTGAAGGTTCTACGGGGATGGGTTTGATACCAGCCTAGACTGGCCGTCTCGTTCTATCGATATGGCCGAGTGTATTTCTGAGACATTTATCAGGGTTTCACAGTATCTTGGAGTGCTTGACGCATCATCATAAGCAATGAATTGGAAGTGTCACCCTTCAACCCTATCTCTTCAGCACGTTGCACTTTCCGCTGAAACCTGAAGACATCTACCTAGATTTCTGAAAGTTAACGCCTAGCTTGTTCTATGTTATTCTCATTTTCGTCTCGTCTATATCAAGATTGTAGCTCCTCGGGTTGTCGATAGTTGATGTTGACGACGACGACGAAACCCAGTGTCCGGCGTCAGTCACGACCATCACCACCACCGAGGCGATCAATCGACGTGTATCCATCCAGCTGTCGCGCGCGCATGAAGGTTTGTGACATACATAAAGCAAAGTGCAACGCACTTCTAACACATACGACCATACCCACTGGAAAACTCGGGATCCCGTCCGCTCTCCCATAGATAAGCCAGTGAGGGCCAGACTAGTAGTTGGGTCGGTGACGACCAGCGAATCCCTGGTGTTGTATGTTCTCTTTTTTTCCTTTTTCTTTTTCTTTTCATCCCCCCCTTTCAGGATGACCAGAACGGGTATCGCCGATCAGTTGTTTCTTTTTCGTTGGTAACGACGTTCTTTGCTTTTTTGTTGCAAGAAAGGTGGGTAATTGTCGGGGGGTGATGGAATTGGTGAAATTGCATTTGAGGCGAAGGGGAATGCACGAATCAGGCATTGTTTGCAGTTTGCTTGAATGTCGTGCATTTAGAGAGGAACACATGGTCGAAGCTTCTGCGCGTTGAACTCGACGCTACGGGAAGAGGAACAATATAACTTCCAACAAAAATAAAATAAGGAAGATAGAGGGATCAATGATGAAAGGAGTGAATCACAAGACATAACTCTGAAGTGGAAGAAGCCGAGACGAAGAATGAAAATATCACTGCAGCGGGTTGTTCCACTTTAACTTTTCCAGATTTGGGTCGGTTGTCTTGAAACTTGCATACATTTTGCGATCAACATCTCTCATCACAAACACAACAACAGCACAATTCTACCACCATACTTCTACTACCGGAGTTTTGTCTTCAGATCAGCTGTCATCTTTTATGTTCAAGCCGAGTTCTTGGACCCCTATACTACTTCGAGATCGATCCACACCCCC